TGTAACAATGACTAATATTAACTTATATATAAATATATATATGATATATCCATATACACGATCGATTCACTCACTAACACTAAACATCCGCTATAAAATAAAAGTATATATACATACAACTACACAGGGTTATTCAAAATGATTCATCCAATTCATAATTCTTATATATTTTTAGTTTTAAGGTTTAGAGTAGGTAATATGGTAATATGGTACCTACAACCTACATTAAATAAAATAATAATATTTCAAGTTGATTTAATGGTACAAATAAAATATGTTCTATGTGACTTCCCTTGGTCTGCACAACACAAACAATATATTTAGATATCTAGTAGATATTTTAGTCGGAACTCAAATTAATTTCATACATATCCGTTTTGTAATTATTATTATTCAACTTATTGTTTAGCTCCTATATGGTACGTACACAGAATCTTTAACGTATCCCCAAAACAAGAAGTCATATGACGTAAGATCAGGTGACCTGGGAACTAGGAAGCCAGATGCGTAAAGCATCGAATTGATTCATTTTGAATAACCCTGTATATATAAAAAGTGTTCGTTAATATTTCGTTTTTTATAAATTCGTGGTATTCGATTGTACCTCATTAAAAAAATTGAACATGATAGTTATCACTTATCATTTTAAAAATAAATAAGAGTATAGAAGCAATTATTATGGTCAACAATTCGTTCACACGGTTTGAAGGAAAACTATTAACACTGCAATTAAAACAAAACGTTGTCAAAAAAAATAGTTGGGATTTTTTTAATTCAAACAAAACGTTTGGTTTATTTTCTCATTAAAATTTCGTATCCGACGATCGTTCGTTAGAAATAGTATTATTAATCGGATGTACGTTTTGGTATATACATATGTTTGTCGTAGTCGAAGTGTTTTGTTCGATATCGAATGTAATATAATATATACTAGTATACGACGCATTTACATATTATAATATCCTCGTGTATACAGATATATTATATATGTATATATAATCGTATGGGGGCACATATCAGACAATTTGATAGATTTCAAAGGGAAATCACCGCCGCCGACACGGTTGCGTGTCGTGTTGGCGTCAATCCTTTAACGCGATACGGTTCGATCGGAACAGTAACAGCAGCAGCAGCTAGCAGCACCTCCTATAACGACTGCTCACAATAATATCCGTCAATATAATACGAAATTCGACATGGCTAATGAATGTTTCAAACATTGTATAATACATAATATAATAATGCGTATATACGCGGCGATCTGGCGATCGTAATAATAATAATAATAATAATAATAATAATAATAATAATAATAAGCAATAACACACTGACGATAATAGTAAAACGCAGATCTCAGCAAAATATAGAAGTACTGGCTTCGACGATCACGTGTTGTTTGGTGGTAGTTACCAGCGTCACCGGTTCACAAAGGAATAAAGGAATTCTGGTATATGCTCGCCGAAATCCTTGTGCCAAAACATCTGGAAGGGTGTCCCGTGTTCGGAAATCTCGTACACAGGGTGAACATGCACACACGCAGAAGACGCGGTTTCTCTGAGTCGACGAACTGCGATTTCTTTTTGTCCGTTTATTCCGGTCAACTCTATACTCTGCAGCGAGATTTTTTCGTCGTATGGTAGGTGTATAGGCACAACAATACACGACAACACGCACGATGTAGGCAGCACACACAAACTGGCACACAAAAGGCCTTTTGTACTCTGTCCCGAAAAATATTTAACGCGCGTGAAAAATGTTCGTGCGGGTCTTTTGTGAAAAAACTCGCGAGCGCGCGCACACACACACACGCGCGCGACCCTATGGTATAGTATAGAGTAAAATATTCGATTCCTAGGTGACGGTGGATTAGACCCTATCAGTACAACGAAGACGTTGTCGGTTGCAGAGAACAAAAAAAATAAAATAAAAACTACTTCATTTTCCAACCCACCTAAATATAATAATATAGAGCCATAAAAAGCCATAAAGAGCCAAAATACTTAATAATAAACCTCAACTCCTCAAGCGATTCCGACTGATGTGACACCGACGAGACGGTTGGTTGTAAGACACGATATTTTCATCTTACGGGGTATTTTAAAACGAGTAAATAGGTAGTTCCTTTATCTCGGACGCCCATTTAATTCGAAAAGATTGAACTGCGATGTGGAACGGAAAAAAAAACACTGTATAGACGACGTTTATCGAATTTATACACGGCTGTTACTGCGGTCCCCGTCGACAACACGTGCAGTGTATGAAAGAATGTCAAAAACAATACAAGCACATTAAAAATACTAAACATTCTATGTATAATGATACGTACTACATTATAGCATATCGTATACATGGTCAAGTAATTCACGGTAGGATGCGAGACGTTCCAAGAGAAATGGACCACCACGTCACGTCAACGCAGAAAACCGCCCTTGTCCCACAAACGTGTTTGGAAAAAATTAATACTTCTCCCGGGTGGCCGTTTTATCGATTTTATTATTATCGTAGTACTTAAACGAAAGAAAAAAATGAAATATTTATAACTCGCCTTTATTTCTTGGAATGCATGGGACGTCATGCAGTTAACCCAAAAATATGTGTGTTCACTGTTTCATCTTTTATAATAATATAGGTACACACCTAATGTTATAGAAATATGGACGATTCTCCAATCATATGAACAACGATGATAAGAAACTGTGTATTAGTTGCTGTGTAAGAACATTTACGAGAAAGGTCAAGAGTTTAAAATCATTCCCAAGTCCGATAACTACGAACCTATACGCGTGGCAACGCGGTTGTGTATCGAATAATTAGTACAATTTATAGCACAGTATTATAATATAAAATGTATAGTGTTTAGTTGTTTGTACGTTATTTTAAAGTGTTTTTTTGTTTGGTTTTTGAGCATTTACGGTTGTCGAAGATGTGGGGATACATTACGGTGTTTTTGCATATATTTCGATTTATCCCCAAGTTTGATACTTTTCCAAAATGCCGTCTTCTGGGCTCGGCAATACAATATGACATGGTCAGTGGCCAAAAGGAGGTATTATTTTCTGACAGAACTCAAGCTTTAGAGGTACCTACTTTTTAAATGTTTAAAATTATTATAGACAGTTAGATAGTAACTATATAAAATATTGTATTAAGCATAGACATCATTATACAAAATATTATTTGTCAATCATTACACGCTAAACAGTACATCAGTACACAGTTAATACATTATAAGGATTTTGATTTCTAGTAGCATATTATATTGTTTTAAAAAGCCATTGAAGTTTTGCAGTCTAGTGTACACAAATCGTAGGCGATGATTTAGTCAAATATTGGAGGAAGCTTACTATTTTTAAAAAAAAGTTAGCATTTAAACAAACAACCAACTTTGCATCATTCCCCCGCACCTCTCTAAACGTTTCGTCCACTATCATAAATATTACCTACTGTGCAATAAACAATAATTCATAATATACAATATAATATAAATGACAGCGCCTATAATTGTAATAATTATCAAATATATTAAAACTGTTTTTTTATGATATAAATATTCAGCAGAAAATAAAAAAATTAAGAAAACTTTATATTGAATAGGTTACCTTAATAAAATGTTTTTATTTCCTACATGAGACTGGTCGGGCCAGAGATAAATGGACCAACATGGAATCCAATTTTCAAATAATTTCAAGATAATAACAAGTCATTCCAATATTGCAAGCGGGTGTTAGGTTAACAACATTAGTCAAACGTGTAAATGAATATTGGGTTTTTGGGCAGGCTTGGACTGTTCAAAGAACATAACATTCTGATAATATATTTTACAAAAGACACATAATTTAATATAATTTAATTTGTAGTAATCGTTGTACCCCGCTACCCGCATTGGGTGTGCTCGCCGAAGGCGTTTTCTTTGGCTTTTGACACTACGGCGGTTAGGTACCTACAACGACAGCGGTTTTAAATGTCTGTGAATTTGGGTACGCATACGACGGCAAATGAATTATTCATACGTTTTATAGCGCACAGCACTATTATAATAATAACGTTGTACATGATAATATTATTATTTACTTGAAACAGTCACACCGACAAAATAATAATATCATAACAGCGACCCGAGTCCGTTATTATCTTTGGGGACACCCGGACGCGACGTTCTCCGCATACTGAGACGATACGGTGACGGAATTCGAGTGAATTCCGAAGACAAAAAGTATGTTAAGCGAATGGAGCTGCATGCCTGCATACGATTGGGTCGATTGGGACCGTAGAATTTGTACAACAGCAACAACGTTTAACACGGCTCATCGGTTATACCTAATAGGTGCCGAGAAGGATTTGTTTCGTAAATCAAAAAAAAGATTAATGGTATCTACCCAGGTATGATAATCAATAAAGTAGCGACCTGTGCAGCTGCGGTAGAGACGAATGCCGATTAACAAGTCAGTATACTCAGTTAGTTTACTGGGGCACCCGAGAAAAGCAACAAGTGTGGAGGCGGGTGGGACCGTCGTTTAAATGTGTAATGACTTTAACCTTTCATTTTCTGAAAAGGCCGCCAGTCGCCCACACTGGCACAGACCGCTACCGAGTAAAACGAAATATTTGATAATACCAGGTCACGTGAGCCGACGAACAAAACACGACTCTTGACCTTGGTGGTTTTCGAATAGGTATTTTGCTCGTGGGTCAAATCTCGTGTTGTGCACTCGCCGCCGGGGCACACATCGTTACATGCACAAATTACGACAATGGGCAGCGTAGGTGCGCAAGAAGAATGAAAAATTGCTTTGTGCGTCTGTCGGCGTAATGGGTCGGATTTCCAAACAAAAAAACCTAGCTAATTCGGAACTAGAAAGCGCACAACTCGAGATCACGTTGATGCGTTTCTCCAGCAACGATGGAGACGACACGCAGAGTAGGTAGGTATGTATTATAATTAATAGACTTAAGACGATATTATGCGACTGACGTGCCGTTGAAACGCCACCGAGACTTACCTGACTGGAGTCTTTTCGTGTCCGGTGTAGCGACGATCTGCCGTTGTCGATAATGCTCATAGCAGCGGAACCCCCGCGTGCCCCGATCCGACAAAGGCCAGACGTGTGTGGAACGATCTCGGAACTGGAAAACCGGGAACTCGTAAACGGAAAAAACCGGCGGAGTGACGAGAGGCGTAGAACGGAAAATCACCGACAATCGCTGTAACGATATTACGAATTGATATTAATACTGTCTGATACCGATCGACGAACGCTCGCGAGTGCAGCACGGCGGCGGGCGCGTTGTCGGACTGTGTGGTTGCGCGGTCGTGGTCGACCGGCCGGCGCGATACGTATGACGCGGTGCGGACGAGATCGGAATTCGGCGGTCTCGTCGTCGCCGGTCGGGCCGGGTGCGCACGCGCACGCACATGCACCACCCGCCGTCGCACACGGTCGCACGCACGCGTTTCTCCTCGCCCCCCCGCACCGTCGATCGGCGACGAGTTTTTCGGTGCACGGCTGTGGCGGAGGAGACGCAGAAACCGGCCACGGTCGACCGTCAAGCGGTGGTGGAGACGACGGACGGACGCTCGCACGCGCATCGTTCCGCCAGTCCGCCAGTTCCGCGGCGAGCGCGTGGAATACGCACCTGCGCGTCTTGCGCACGTATAGTGAAATAACAGATGTTTTATTTATTTTAAAACGCTCACAACTAATTTTCAAAATCAAAATTTCGGAAAAAAAGCATCCCTGGGACCCTGGATAATGTATTTACTTTCAAATTCGATAACAGATCAATTCCCTCTAATGTTAAAATAACCTAGTAAAATGGGTACTTACTTTAAAATCGTAAAATCGTCTTTGTAAGGCGAAGTATGACGACAAAAAACGATCAAATTATTCTCGGGTGGCCTGCACACCGTGTTCACCCAGAAGCCGCCCGCCGCTACAGGTGGAAATCACCACATTGGGCACATCGTGTAAATGTATAATATAATATACATAATAATAATATTATTATAGTGCACATATTATATTCTTTTTTTTTAAACATATTTCCCTTTTTGTGTACAAGTGCATCCCCCTCCCCCCCCTCCCGTTTTTTAACCCCCATGACTCTCGACCACATCTGTTGGAATAACATAATATTATACTGGTGCGTTGCGTCGTATGGCTGTGTTTTTATATCCTCTGAGACGTTTTTTGTACCGCTCCTACTTATTTCTCTCCACATTTTTATTGTTGTTTACCAATCGACCGATTTCGTAAAACATAATTATTCCAACCGTAATCTACAAAACGGCTCTCAGCTGCTGTTGTTTCTGCTACCGCCGTCCCTAATTAGACCAAACATCATATAGACGCCGCCGCATATTATAAATTATAATATCGTTTCCGGCTACGCAAACAAGTGCTTAAAAAATGTTATTTTTCCGTTTCGTGGTGTGGAGATTTTTGAACACACGCGTTGAGCTCGCTCGGTTATTGATCGTAGTCGATTTATCTCACTTTCACACCGTTTCGATATTATAATGGTCTTACGAGCCTATAATCGGCAAAATGATAATAATTAGTAGGCGGACGCATTCAATTAACGACTTGGTTGAAGATAATTGATATTGATTATTTTACGACGTTCGAGTCGTTCGAATTGGTTCGATTAAACATAACTTCGTAAATACATACCTACAATTTGCACATTTTTCGATTAAAACTAGCCATTCTTGATTTTTACGATTCTGACGATTTAAATACACTAAACGTCACTTTTATGTTTCATTTTCTGAATAATAATAAAAATGTACTGTCCTTTCAACATCACTAATTTTAAATGTTGTTCTTATTTTTGGAGCACTTTCAACTTTATTCTTCGTTCAACCGTCTGCCGCTAATTTCCTGTTAAAAATAAAACGTGTACAAAATATAAAAGAATATTATTATTAATTAATGTGCAGTAAAAGCAAAATTATAACCTCTTAATGTCATGTACGCCCTTTATTATTCTATGAATGCTTTAAATTGTATGTCATGCAATCGTTTAGTTGTTTCATCTATATTGCAATGTTGCATTATTTATCTTTTTTCCTACGCCCGTACGAATAATGAAATAATTATACTTATATAATGTGAAAAACATGATATTTCTACTAATTTATTAATTTATGATCTAAATATTTTACACCCATCACTATAATTAATAATTATTATATATTATTATTTATCTTAGGGTGAGGCCTAACTCTTCGGGCTACTGATCAACCTTCCGTATATGCTAGGATTTTCAATTTGGCATACTTGCTAAAACATAATATACATTGTACATTACCCATAATTTACATACTGTTAGTAGATCAAACATATACAAATAATACATTTAAATTTTAAATGATGTTGGTTTTTGACTTTTAAGAAAGAGTACTATAAAAGAAACTAGCACTCTAGGAGTTTTGATGTTTTCATTAACTGTATTATAGTGTTCTTATCTTAATCTTCTTTAATATAAGTTCTAAAAATGTATTTTATCTTCGTCAATCTTCAACAAATTCAATGAAAAATTTAACAACGGTCAACGTAATATCACGACACTTAATAATATATTTTGATCAAATATGCATACAAGTTTACAAGTTGTCAAGTTGAATTTGAAATATTATTAATTTACTGAGATTGAATTTATGTGAGTACAGTATGTCCTCGTAAATGTTAAAATGATTAAATCCAAAGTTCATAAAATGTTTTATGTACCTATGATTATATATTTTCTATAAAAGTATACAACGGGGTACAACTGCTTGAAAATTATCTCATGATATTATATTTCAGAATTTAAAATTTCTACATTTGTACCAAGTGAAATTTCAAAGTTATAATAATAACAAGGAATGCAACAAAAATGCAATAGCAAAATAACTGGTTTAACTTAATAGGTACATTTTGTGAAATGATTAACTAGAAAGGAAAATAATTTTATTATTTTTATTAGTAATCTACTTAGATATTTTAAAGGTGTACTTATCTCAAAATAATGTCAATTGCCTACTTTCAAATACTATACATCAGCGGTTCCATAACTTTTGATGTTAATTTATTATTGTGTACTCTATAATATATGTATAATAATATGATTATAAGAATATAAAATAGTCCAAATCCCGATTGTAAACTATTTAGAAAGTAAACAATATTGTGAAGTTATTTTATGTCCGTTGTGAGTTTGTGACTTTAATATACTACATTAGGTTATATTATACACCTACATGGCTACATTATTTTCATTAAATAATATTACATGATAATAATATAATATCATGATTAATGATTATATTATGAAAACCCAAATAATACCTGGAATTTATATTTATATTAATTAATTTAAATCTTTTTCTTTTTTTTCTCTCTAAGTATAGTGGTAAGCCTATTGTTGTCGCCTATTGATCAATATCAAATATGACCAAGTAAATAAATACAAAGCAGTGACATTTTTTTTGGTTATTTTAAGTTATAATAACTAAATAATGATTATAAAAACATTGGTCGATAAGTGTGTTTGTCTTGTGCATGGGTTCTTTACTCGCAGCCACAGACGCACACACACACAAAAACGAACATAGGGGTAGGACACATTTAAGGGTGTGTGTTAATATCACTATTGTCTGTATAGCCAACGCTGAGAATTCCTCGCCCTATCAGCGATTTTATCGCCATTCGCCGTGCGCAGGTTTTATTACGTCGTCGTATAATATATTATTATGGTGAAGTACATAATATTAATAGTATAACCTCTACCCACGTGTCCGCAGCTGACGTCGCCTTATGCTGACAAAAAATTTTTTCGACAAATATACGAATTGTCGACCCATTATTATTATATAGACACATTAAATAATTCAGCCAGTGAAATATAGGTAAGTGTAGAAGGTGATGAGTTGCTGATGCCACCATGTTTTTAAAAAGGCTGTATAGTGGTTATGGTGAGGGTGATACCACATACTTACGTTATTTTGTAATCGAAATTCCATTTTTAACGTTGTCACAGAAGACTGCGATTTGGTTTTCAAACAAAAAACTAGGATTGATTATTCGGGTCTGTACAGGCTATCCACAGAACTGCATATTTTATTCAGTGCTATATGCATAGTCAGTCGGATGAAAATTCATTGTGATAAGTCGAATTATGTAGAAGTTTTCGACAACCAAACCATATCCTGTAAATGGTTGAAATTTATTCTCGAAACCATTAAGTTATAATATAGGTATTATAGTATAGGCACCCTATTATTGTTGCACATATATTGTATGCCCGAGCATTGTGAACTCTTTACATAAAGGACAATTCCAGTGAATTCGTTTCTTTTTTCGGTAAATTTGCTTCGAAGGCCGCACATACTCAACTCTGTATAATAGTATAATAAAATATACACATTAACCCATACATTATATTGTATTATTGTTTGACGGTGGCTGAACGAGCTCCAGCAGTTCAGATAATACCTTTAACATATACGGCTAAACCATGAAATTAAAATGTGAATATGTGATGGGTGTAATTCCAGCACTATGCACGTATATACAATTAAAATCGAGTTACTATCGAGTTAAATAGGTTTTCAGTTCGATCATCACTTCGTCGAATGATTACAAAAATTGGAAACAATTATTAAACACCGAGAAACGTGTAGTATGCGAAATTCATCAGTACAATCAAATGTTTACTTTTAAGACAGGTTTTCGACTCTCGGCTAATCAAATGAAAAAGAAAATTCCCTGAATATTAACTTATTATTTTTGAATATTTACAATTTAATAAAAATTGGTTATCACAGATCAGGTTCACTGGGGATGTTCAATACACACAGTAACTCAGTCAGCGATACGTAATCAGTTTTTCTTCAGCGTTACCGACCATTAATATTATTAAACACATGTCCAAGTCGTATGTCGATAATTATATTTATAGCCAATTGGCGTAACGGCGTCAACGAAAATAGTATTGATTTCCTTTTACATCTAAAGTATGTGCTTTTATCCAAAATATATGATCAGCAGGCAACAGCGAACGTGATAAGGTATATTTTGTTAGAACACCTGAATTCTCGCATCTGTACTTCGTTGCGAATACGAATATTGAATACAATTATGATATCATACACAAAAATAAAACTAAAAGAGTAGGTTTATTTGCTATTCATATATGAGCTAAAATGGTACAAAGTTGAGTTAAGTTTAAATTTGTATGTCAACGTATAGACAATGAATTAATATAATAGTATATTATTTCATATTGATTGAGCTATTAATTAAACTTAAAATATAATGCGTTGTTACTTGTTTATAATGTATAGTTTTACAGAAATAAGAGACTTAAGTACTA